CCAGGAGCCCCTAGTAGCGTCCTTGCTCCTAGTAGCGATGCCAGGAGTTGCTAGCATCCTTGCTCCTAGTAGCGATGCCAGGAGCCCCTAGCATCCTTGCTCCTAGCAGCGATGCCAGGAGCCCCTAGTAGCGTCCTTGCGTCCTTGCTCGTAGTAGCGATGCCAGGAGCCCCTCTCGTAGCGTCCTTGCTCCTAGTAGCGATGTAGCTTCTTGTTCCTAGTGAGCTCACCCCTTCGGCTGACGAACAACCGACCTTGAAGGGAACCAGACAAGAACTCGACGAAGACTTGTGGTTCGGTCCGCTGCGCCGTGTCCATGCCCCAAACAGGCCAGATTTAAATGGGACAGCTGTTTGTGTTCTAAGCTCCCTGAACATGTAAGGCACGAGGTTGAGAGTTTGGGCAAAGCTTTTTTCTGTGGATCTCACTTAACTTCATGGCTAGATTGGAAAGAAGAAAAGTGTCTGAGCGTTGCAGATGTGCATGTCTCGAGCGAAGTTGTATGCTCATGCCGAGTTGGGCAGCGCTGCTCTTTGTTCACTCTGTGGGCTGAAGGGGCACAATGTCAGAACATGGAGCTGACAAGTGTTGGGAATGACAGGCCCAAGGCCGCTCACAGAAAAGAAGCGTTTGGAGAGCAAGCAAGCCGGCCGCAGACCTCTTGGCTTTGGCAATAGGAAGATTTTGGGGTAGTGTGGAGCAAAATTATGTACTCCAAGTCTTCCAAGGTGGGCACAAGCGATCTCAAGAACAATTCCCGGCCAACATGAAGCAGCCAAAGTTCAGGTGCAAGATGATGCAGTCTGTGCTCACATGGGTTGCCGCTTGGAACTGAAGTGCTTCCAGAATCCGACTCCGCCTTCTTAAAGGAAACATTCGCTACGTCAGGTATATTCTTCGCACACACTTATGGATATGCGTACTGACTTGACCGCGGTGCCACACGCCAGCCTAAGAAACCCAAATCCTGAAAGGTCCAGGAAAGTCCTAAAGAGCCTGGGGGTCTTCAAGAGGAAAGAGGGCCCAAAGCGGAAGATCGAAGGCGGCGAGCGGGTCGAACAGGTTGACGGCGGTCCGCTCACATCTGCCAATGCATTAGCCCTTTACCCAAATCTTAAAATTCAAGCAGGTACACAGAGCTGATCAGGCTCTGCTTCTAGCACAAGTGGATAGCTTCGTTGGGTGCAGTCTCCACTGTGCTCTGCACCCCCCTGCTGAAAAAAGAAAACCGGCAAACAATCCAAATGAATCCCTATGATTACAAGGGGTACACACACACGCCTCCCCGAGGGGAGGCGGAAAGCACTAAGGTCAGGGCAAAAGTGTGAGTGCGCGCGCAGTAAGACAAAAGAATGAAGACATGAAGAGGAGACAAGACGGGACAAGAGTGTGTGTGGTTGCAATGAAACGGAGCCAAGTGCACAGGAACAACCGATGACAGCCCACCTCAGTGTAAAAAACCTGGGCGACCTGAAACCTGATTCGAAAGTAGGTTGTGCATGTACACACTGAGGGCCGGGCAGTGTGCACGCAAAAGAAAGAAAGTGATGAGATGACAGGACATGAAGCAAGGGAAGACATGAAAGAAAAGAAGAAAAAAGAATGTGTGAAAAGGGAAAGGATGAAAAGGGGAACCAAATGGAGGGGGCCGGAACCGATGAAGCCAAACCTCATTACAACAACCTAGGAAAACCTGCCTCGTTTGAATGTACACGCTGTATGTGCACCCAAGGTCTCGACAGGTTCCAATGAACCTTAACTTTGCTTTGACCGCTATGGTCACCTTGTGCCCTGCCGAAACGGCTGGCTGCTTCGACCGCTGCGGTCACGTAAAGGCATGAGCCAGCTTGGAATTCCAAAGATGGGGCGAACATCCAAATTCTTGTGGCATAAGCCAGCTTCGCCCGCTATGGGCACTTACGTTTCCGAAGCAAGGGAAACAACGACAAACCCCCGTTCGACGGGTCCACGGGAGGCACTCTACGGGCTCATCCAAGATTGGCACAAGGCCAAGCACACTTATGGATATGCGTACTGACTTGACAGCGGTGCCACACGCCAGCCTAAGAAACCCAAGTCCTGAAAGGCCCAGGAAAGTCCTAAAGAGCCTGGGGGTCTTCAAGAGGAAAGAGGGCCCAAGGCGGAAGATCGAAGGTTGACGGCGGTCCGCTCACATCTGCCAATGCATTAGCCCTTTACCCAAATCTTAAAATTCAAGCAGGTACACAGAGCTGATCAGGCTCTGCTTCTAGCACAAGTGGATAGATTCGTTGGGTGCAGTCTCCACTGTGCTGTGAACCCCCCTGCTGAAAAAAGAAAACCAGCAAACAATCCAAATGAATCCCTATGATTACAAGGGGTACACACACACACAAAGACGCAGCTGGCTGCAAATCCTCTCCATCACCTGGCGCTGTGGCCAAGCAGGTTGGAATGAGGCGTCGTGCGGGTGCAAAAATGTCTTTCGGCCTTTGCGAGTTCTAGAAGCCTTTGTTACCAGTGGCTTCTTGCTACTAGTGGTAAGAATGCTCCTAGTAGCATGCCAGGAGCCCCTAGTAGCTTCTTGTTCCTAGTGGCTTCTTGCTACGAGTACTAGTAGTAATGGCCTCCAACCTGCTAGCGATGGCCTCCAACCTAGTAACTTCTTGCTACTAGTAGAAGCCAATGCTAAAAAGACTGCCACTGCCAACGCGTTGAGATGAACACCTGCGAAGGCTGCCAAAGTCTCCGCAACAGAATGATTTGGTCCAAGCTTGGGCAAGCAAACCACCGTGGAAAACCTCCCCCAAAGCATTTCCAAGCATGTGTGGCTCGGGATTTTTCAAAGAGGTTCCAAGAAAGAAGCATAGCATAGCTCAAACCACTCTGAAGCTTGTTGAAAGGAGTCAAGCCTCCTCCAAAGGGTTGCAAGGATGCTTTGGGGCGAGTTGTTGGCAAGGCTGGCAAGCAGCTGTGTTTGCAGATGGTGCTCCAGCATGGAAAGCCATGCTTTTACTCAAGAGTGTCTACAAGCGATGGCGATGGCCTCCAACCTACAAGCAATGGCCGGCAGCCTACAAGCGATGGCCTCCAACCGAAGAAAGTCAAAGTGTTCAATATGAACCCCTCCAAACCTGAGTTTGTGAAGGCATTGCGTGCACACCCTCGAGGAGTGCTAGAAGCTGCGCCAGCAATCGGCTGGCTGACAGGAACTGGGATTTGTTGGATGGATGGATTCACCAAAGTGTGACCACCATGGTCAAACAATAAATAAGCCCAGTCTTGTCTGAATACTTGTATAGTTGCCATGTGTCGGTACCTGCCACTGCTGCAAGATATCGATGCTGCTGGAGTTTGGTTTGGCTTTGGCTTGACAATGCTTGAGAGGGTCAGAGGAGGGCGCCGAGCCTGCTCCAGGGCGGTGTTAGGTTTTGCTTTGTTTGGTTTTGTTAGCTTTTCGTGTCGTGCTAGTCTCTTCCAGTTCAGTGCCTGCAGTGTTTTTCACCGCTAATCTTACCAGTGTCCAACACATGTCCGAGACTGCCTGCAGCAGTAGAGCTAAAACCACCTGTTGAAATCGCACCCCACCATTGGACCGGACCACATACGAATGGAAGCAGCATTGCTTTGCTTGAAATCTAAACATATCAAATCAAACTACTCCAGTCCTCCTAGTCGAACAAAAGTTGCACATTCCGATACTTCTCTGCGTTCAAAACTTTTTGCGAGCGTATGTTGAGTCAGCATGTGGCTTATGACATGCAGCAAAGGTGCAACTGGCAAAGGGCCAGGCATGCTATGGTTGCTCCTTCTTTTCTGTCTCTATTTATTGTCCATCTTTCTTTGGACCTGTTAGACCTTTCTTTCATCCTTTCTCTTTTCTTGTTGAGCCTCTAGTCCTTGGTCATCCATCAAGCTCCCTTTCCATCAAAGCCCATCAACAGAAAGCGCACCTCAGATGGTCCTCGACCGGCAGAGGTGCTCGAACGATCTCACACGTGAACAAAGTGCCTTCAGCGTTTCGAAGTCGCTGCAGCTTACGCCTGCTGCTTCTTTGCAC